TTCTTTGTTTGGATCCAGGAGGAATTTGTCCTCAGAATTAAGTCAGCTGTTCGATCCTTCTTGTTTTGTGTGGCCTACAAAAAAAGGAAAAACGATGTGGAGATGTATTAGAGCAGCAGCCTTGTGGACAATTTGGGAAGAAAGGAATGCTAGGGTGTTCAAAGAAAAGGAAAGAAGCTTACAAACTGTTGAGGATTGTTTATTGACTAGAGACATTCATTGGCTAAGAACTTTGGAGTAACTGGAAGGCAGTAGCCACTAGTCATACGAGGAGGGACAAGGCAGCTGCAGTGTGGAAGCCTCCGCCTGAAGGTTGGGCAAAGCTGAATTTTGATGACAGTAGCCAAGGAAACCCAGGCCCTTCGGGGATAGGAGGGGTGCTGAGAGATAGAGAGAGCAACATCCTAGCTTTGTTTTCAGGCCCTGTGGGAATAGGAGACTCAAATAGAGCAGAGATCTTAGCGGCTGTACAAGGCATCCGAATTGCTGAACAGTTAGGAGTTCAACACTTGATAGTTGAAGGAGACTCTAAAACTGTTGTGGGATGGCTGACAAAGCCAGCTTCAGCTATGTGGCGATATAGAGATTTATTGAGGAAAGTCAATTGGCTCACAAGAAATATGACAGTTACCTCTCTTTGGGTAGAAAGATCAGCAAATTCCTTAGCTGGACTAGCTAAGCAAGGGGTTTCAAGGGATCATTTGTTTTGGGCTGCCATGTAATTTTATTTCTGTTTATTTCTGCTTATTCGGTTCTTAATTGATGTAATACTTTATTAGAAGAGGTAACAGCTCGTGCCTCTTCATGGGTTTCCTGTATTGCCTTATATTCTGATTTAATAAATTATTTTCATTTGTCAAAAAAAAATGTAAATAAGTTTCTGGATCTGTTAATTATATAAAAAAGATCTTACATACAAAATAATTTCCCTGTTAGAACAAGACATCACAAGTTGGATAAAGATCCCAACTATTGTTCGTAGTAAGGTTATTGTTCATTCTAAACAGTGCTCAACTCTTTTTCTATAGGACATTTTTAGAATCTCAAGAAGTAGTAAAAGAAGACAATGCATATATATCAATCAAACACACACAGGCGTACACACAATGCATACTGTCAATAGAAACCAAAATTCAAAGATAAAGAATTAACTAACCACAAACCCATTGAAGATGGGGTATGTATTTCCATCAGAATCTCTTCTAGTATTATGCCCAAGAATGCAGAGAGTTTGAATGTGAAAAATTTCCTGTCTCTTGTGTAAAACTTCAACTATTTTTGAACATAGAGGAAAAGAATAACCTTCTGGTTCTATATGTCTATCCGAGACACTAATGCCACTGCAGTGCTGCACAAGAAGTATATTAGTTCATTTAAAGTAAGTTATCCACTTCTTATTTATAGTGTTAAGTAGCAATTAAATATTTATAAATGGAAAAAAAAAAAGATTCAGAATCACAGGACAGACTTCACATGAGGTATCTTCATAGCCACCAATTAGATGCACCTGCAATTTATATTCTCATAGAGGATTAACTGCAAGAATATTTAAGAATAGAAAAGAACAAATATTTAAGAAAACAAGATCTGGTATTCAGAAAACAAATATTTAAGAAAGTAGAAAAGAACAAACATCCAACTCAGCATCTAATCTGGGATCAGCAACTAATGACAACATCTGGGCAAGGCCAAAATCTACAATTTCTGGAGAATCCATATGGGCAACAGACGTCCTGTAATCGAAGCATATAGAGGACAGGAAATATGTTATTCAGAACGTAGGTTTATAACAGATTGTTACAATTCTAACAAGTTCAGTGTCTAGACTAACTGATTCTTACATTCCAGTCTTCTGGTTACGGATGACAAGACCTACACAGGTAGTTGCTTCATCTGTGCCAACTAACTTTAAATGTGGAAGAAAATTGAAAATTATGAAAATTGTTGGTGTAAGGGCATATAAAGAAAAGCCACTAAGCAGCATGAATAACAAGTAGTGAATTGACATCATCCAATAGAAATAAAAAATAATGAAAATCTACATTACAGCAAAAACATGAAACAGTTGACATATCTCATTAAAGCTATCAGGTAACAGTTTTGAAGTCCTGAATCTTCAACAAAATAGTTCAAGTATTTATTTATTCTTTAAAGATAATTTACTGTTTTTAGATGTTTTAGTAAAGAATGATGACTGACCAAACCTTTTACCATTGAACCAAGCAATGGATCCTTTTCTCAGGAACTAAGAGTACCCACTAAAAAATTCCATATCCACATCTGGATTTGAAAGGCTAATTAAGATTTTTTTATAATAACTGAAAAAGAGAACATTTTTATTAAAGAAAAAACAGAGAGAAGTACATAAAATGGATATGGTGATGAGATCACACCCCAATCCCAGTTCTTGCAAGGCAAGAGAAAAGGCAGCATAGAAGAGAAAACAAAACATAAATCATCATTAACCAAATTACAACTACATCTATCTGCTTGAAGAAATATTCCTGGAAATCAACATACCTCTACAAGTGCAGGATCAACAGTTGCATATTCTCTTTGAAAAATATAAACATGCTTAATTTGTGTAGATCCCTCCAAACCAGATCCTTCAGGGACTGAAATCTTCCTCTCTGGAATAGCTTTAAATGAATCCGTAGCAGAAATCAGTACAGGATGTTCCAGTAATGCTTGCAGGTTCTCACTGCCCTGATCATAGCAACACATTTTGAAGGCTATTAATGTCTCTTCCACTTTTATTTCATTTTAACTTTTTTTGGATAGCTACATTAATACATGTAGCCTTTCCCCTTGTCTCTTAGTCAAACCACATCAATGGCAATAAGGTCAACAAAAACAACAAAAGAAAAGAATGCAAGTGGGAAAAATAGCTCCCAAAAGTGGGTCTAAAATATGGATTAGAGACAAAAGCCCATTTTGACCAAGCTGACAAGCACGACAGTCCCCCTGCTACCTCTCTGCTCTTAGGAGAGGATTTTCCAGATGCACCTCTCTCTAGTAGAGGAGAAGAGATGTTAATCGCCCTCCCACGACATTAATTACAGGAAGCTTGAGTTTGGAGAGGGGAGATTTGGAAAAGGAGTCTGACTCAGAGTTGAGCTCGTATGAATCTGATGCAGATGTTGATGGTCAGGAGGTAGCTCTAGAAAGAGCTCAATCACTGTTCGAGAACAGAGGAAACTGGGGAAGTGTGGATATCCTAGATCTGATGCAGCTTGTAAACTCAGACTACAGTCAATCTGATTCTAGACACCTAGAGAGAGGAGGAAAGCTCGAACTTGTGGCAAACCCCCTTCCAGGCTCTCCAAATAACCCTTTAGCTTGTCATTCTTTTGTTGCTTCTTCTCCCGTCTTTTCTACCTCTGAGCTTCACTCTACTCCTCTTTTCCCATGTTTCAGGTGAAGGTGGCCTTCTATCCCAACTTATGGCAAGTCTCTGCGATCAAGGTCAATTGTTGAAGACATGCCAGAATTTCAACGACACAGAGAATAGTGGGGCAGTCAATAAGCAACAGAGTGGGGTAAAGGGAAGCAGTGAGGGAAAGAAGTTGGAAGTTGGGGGTGAAGAAAAGGGAAACAGAGAGCTCAAAAGACTTCAATGGGAATTTGTCGACCAGGGAGTAGGACCTGAAATCAGTAATGATAGAAGGTTAAGCAAGGGAAAGGCTGTTGTAGACAAATCACGAAGATCTTGAGTTGGAATGTAAGGGAGCGGGGAGGGAATTTGAAGAGAAGTCTGATTAAGGACAACCTAAGGAGAGAGAACCCTGACATAGTAATTTTACAAGAACAAAGAAAGAAGTCATTAACAAAAATCTAATTAAAGCAATTTGGGGAATCAGAGGAAGAAAATGGGCAGACGTCCCAGAAAAGGGAACAGCGGGAGGGATCCTCATTGTTTGGAAAGAAGAGGTGGTTACTGGTTTCGAAGTAGACAAAGGAGAGTTTTCTATTTCAATCCTTTTCACAAACATTTCTGATGGGATCAACTGGATTCTGACAGGATGGGCCTAATTCTCCATCACAGAGAGGAAGATTATGGGAGGAATTGGACTCTCTACATGAATTTGAGGACCTGCCCTGGTGTGTTGGTGGTGGCTTTAATGTCACAAGATTGTGCAGTGAGAGTCCAAACTGTAGGAGAGTAACAAGAAGCATGAAGGATTTCCCGGATTTTATTGCTAGGCACAATCTTAGAGAACTCCCTCTTAGCAATGGCTCCTTTACCTGGTCTAATATGAGGGAATGTGCAGTAAGCAGCAGACTAGATAGGTTTCTCCTAACCAATGACTGGGAGGAACTCTTACCCAACTATGTGCAGTTTATTAAGCCTCATTGGACCTTTGATCATTGGCCAGTGGTTCTACAGAATGAAGTCTACAGAAAAGGAAAGGCACCTTTTAGGTTGGAGAAGATTTGGACTACCCACAAGGACTTTCAACAAAAAGTAGCTGCTTGATGAGAGGAATGTAAAGTGGATGGTTGGGCAGGATTTCAGTTTCGGCAAAAATTAAAATACTTAAAGGGGAAGCTTAAAGTCTGGGGTAAAGAGGAGTTTAAAAATTTTGTGAAGATAAGAACAAACTAACTCAAGAGCTAGATGATTTGGATCATAGAGAGCAACTGGGGAATTTGGATGAAGAGGGTAGAAGTAGAAGATAAATTCTTAAAAAGGATTGGGATAAGATTATAAGAATGGAATAAATCTTTTGGAGGCAAAGGTCTCAATTGAGATGGCTGAAGGAGGGAAACATAAATTCAAAGTTCTTTCATAGGTATGCATCAAGGAGAAGAAAGCAAAATTATATCTCAAAACTGAGGGTGGGGTAGAGAGAGATAGAGGACAAGTGAGAAATTTCAGAAGACATTGAGCAGTTTTTCAAAGGGATTTACTCAAAGTATGGTTCTAGTAGAATTCCTTTGAACAGCCAGGAGGGACCTAAGCTGCCCAATGACAAAAAGCTGTGGAAGCATGGTTTTTAAAACCGAACCAGTCAGGGGTCCAGTTACCGGTTCGAACGGTCCGACCGTTCGAACCGAACAGCCAGTCCGCTCTGACAAAAAAAATAAAAAAATTTGAAAAACAGTCAAAAGCATTTGAATGGTTAACCGGCCGGTTCAGTGGTTTGCTGACCAAAATCAATGGTTTTGGGGAAAAAAGCGGTTTTGGGGAAAAACGGAACCGGTTTCCGATTTTTCCAGTCCGACTGTCCGGTCCGGTCTGGTTTTGAAAACCATGGCTAGAAAGGAACTTTGAAGAGCAAGAGGTTAAGAAAGCAGTGTTTAAGATGGATGGTGATAGAGCTCCTGGACCGCATGGGTTCCCTATCCTATTCTATCAATTGTGTTGGGACACAATCAAGTCTGATCTGATGGAGGCGTTTTCAGATTTCTACCTTTTGGCCATCATGAACAAAGGTAACAACTCGACCTTTATCACCCTAGTTCCAAAGAAAGAGGGGGCCTTGGAAGTTAAGGACTTCAGACCCCTCAGTTTGGTGGGAAGTTTATACAAAATAGTAGCTAAAGTACTGGTGACTAGACTAAAGGAGGTGCAGAAAGATTTAATTTCAAGCAACCAGTTTGCCTTTGTGGAAGGGAGACAGATTATTGACAGCAAACTAGTGGCTAATGAATGTGTAGAAGAAAGAAGGCAAAGTAGCAAGGCAGGGGTGGTAATCAAGCTGGATCTGGAAAAGGCCTACAACAAAGTGGATTGGGATTGCTTGGTAGAGATTCTAAACCTGGGAGGTTTTGGAAGTACGTGGGTGAGATGGATTAGAGGGCGCATAAGTTCTGTTTGGTTTCCAATCCTAATAAACGGTGAACCTACTGGCTATTTTAATGCAAACAGGGGTCTGAGACAAGGCTGCCCTCTCTCCCCCCTACTCTTCACTTTGATGGCTGATATCCTCAGTTATTTGCTTCAAAAAGCGAGGGAGCAAAACCTGCTGAAAGGGTTTGAGGTAGGTAGGGAAGAAATTCAGGTATCTCACTTGATGTTCGCAAGTGACATAATCTTGTTCTTGGAGGTGGATTGGGACAACATATCCAACCTAAAAATGGTGTTAAACATTTTTGATCTGGTGATCGGTCTTAGAATTAATTTCTCCAAAAGTAGTATTGTGGCTTAAATGAAAGTGACACTCTGTTGGATAGGTTCAAGGAGCTGTTAGGCTGTAAACTGAAAAGGCTTCCCATTGCCTATTTGAGAATGGCTCTTGGTGGGAATCTAAGGAGTCAAAAATTTTGGAATCCAATGGTAGAAAAATGTGAGAGAAGATTGGCCACGTGGAAGAAAAGCTACCTATCAAAAGGGGGAAGACTCGCACTTATCAAGGCTTCCCTTGCCAACTTGCCTACCTATCATCTGTTGGTTTTCCGAGTCCCGGGCAAAGTAAAAAGTAAGATTGAGAAGATCCAACGGGATTTCCTATGGGAAGGAGGTGGAGAAAAGAAGTGCCATTTAGCTTGTTGGAATCAATTTTGCAAGCCTAAGGAAGCTAGTGGATTGGGGCTAGGACATGTTATGTAAAGGAACATAGCCCTTCTTGGAAATTGGTTGTGGAGGTACCCCTTGGAGACAGAAGCCTTGTGGACAAAAATCATCAAGAGCAAGTACGGAAGACACTCCAATGGTTGGAATAGCAAGGTCCACTTAAACGGAGTCAAAGCTTCTAACCCTTGGAATTGATTCTGTTAGATACAAGGTGGTAAACGGGAGCAGAATCAAATTTTGCACTGATTTGTGGTGGGGAGAGGATACCCTCGCTAACTCTTACCCTAGAATTTTTAACCTGTCCTGCTCCAAAGAAGCCACAGTAGCCTTTAGCCTTAGCCCCTCTCCTTCAGGAACCAGTTGGAAACTTAATCCTGCCGGCAAGTTCTCAACTAATTCTTTTTTCAAGGTTCTAGTCTCGGAAGATCAGAGCTCTCCCTTTCCGATTAAGAATGTCTGGAGCTCACATATCCCACTTAGAGTTTCCTTCTTTGTTTGGGAAGCCTTCTTAGCGAAAATAAACACTTGCAACCTGATCCAGAAAAAGCTTAGAGGCAGATTATGTATCTCCCCCCATGTATGTCCTCTTTGCCTTGGCGAAGGAGAGACAGCTAATCACATCCTTCTCCACTGCCCTATCACAAGGAAGGTTTGGTTTCTTCCTAAATTTAGTTGGCTACAGCTGGGTATTCCTAGAGAAGGTGGTGGACCTCCTGTGGCAATGGAAAGGCAAAGGTCTAGGAAAAAGAGGAAGATTATACTGGAGTATGGTGACCCATGCAATCCTATGGGGTATATGGGAAGAAAGGAACAACAGAACTTTTGAAAACAAAACCAGAAATGTTGAATACCTAACTTCTTACATTACTTTCCTCTGCATCCTTTGGGTGGTTAACTCTGAAGTTTTCAAAGGCCTGTCCTTAAATGCCCTTAAGAGCAACCTTCCAGCTATCCTGCAGTCCTCTCCAAGATCTGAGTCGATCATGAGAAACCTTGTTAGAGAAGATGGTGTGATGACCCTAAACTTTGACGGCAGTGCCCAAGGCTCTACTGGTCAAGCAGGAATTGGAGGTGTAATCCATGGGGAGAGGGGGATTTGTTGGGTATATAGTGGTCCGATTGGGAGGGCTGGTGCTACAAAGGCAGAGGTCTTGTCTGCACTTACAGGAATTCGGTTCGCCAAACAGCTAGGGTTATTCTCTTTAACCATCAAAGGAGACTCTGCAAATACTTTAGCCTGGCTAAGGGAGAAGGAAGGAGGGCCTTAGAGACTTGCACATCTGCTAGCCGAAGCTTGGGATATCTTAGAGTCTATGAATGTGAATCTGGTCTGGATTCCTAGGGAACAAACACTGTCGCTGACAGCCTTGCAAAATCAGGGGTTTTCAGAGGAAGCTTGTTTAGTGAAATCTGTTTGCCTCTGTAATTCTGCTTTAGCTGCTTTAGTTTCAGTACATCCACTCATGTACTTCTTCCCGTTTTATCATCAATAAAAAGTTACCTTTGCTCAAAAATTAAAAAAAAAAAAAAAAAGTGGGTCTAAAATAGAAACTTAATTGTTGATAAAATCATTATTCAAAAGTCACATGTATTAGGGAGCTGCATGAGGTGCCAAGTGGGAAAAATGTGGATTGAACTAGTTCAGTTTAGATTCCACAAATTTATGACAAATTCAGGTTTTGTTTTGATACCATAAATTCTTGGGTTTGTCTTTGCTGAAACCAAAATAATCTTCCAGAAGCTATATTTACAAACTCCCCAATTTCACCATAGTACCTATTATAGAAGTTTCATGAATATGTCATTGTAAATATCTGTCACTTGTGCATTCTTGACAGTATCAAGCTACATAACCAGTTATATCTCATATTTCTTAGAAAGTAACCAAGTTTTATGATCCAACATTACCTAAGTATCATGTTTCATAACAAGTAAACAAGCAAAATCATAGGACCTAGAACAAGATTGAAAGGAAAGAAAGTTTTTCAAATGGGCCAGAGAGATTTTAGGAGGGGAGAGATTCCATTTCCATATTGGATGGGAGAGATTTTAGGAGATAGATAATGGATGAAAGCTATAAAGCCTTTTCTTTGAAGCCTGATTAGGCAAATTTCAATCAACAAATGCTCAGGACACATCATTTTCAACAGCTGTAAAAAGAAAATCAGGGACTCTCGACCAAGTCTGGGTACGAGAGATAGAAAGAGAAAATTTAACTACAATATGGGCCACCTTATTTGCATCCCTTGGTGTATATACCACTAAAAATCGGGAGAATTGAAACATGTAAGCTCTGCAATCGGCCAGAATTGCTCTAATCCGCCAGGGAGGAGTATCAGATTCCAGCAACAAAGCCTTTATCACAACTAGAGGCTACAAACCTAATTATTACCATGTCATTTCTTTCCTAAAATATATCAAGTTTTGAGAAATTTCCTAGGGGTCGGGAGAGGTGGAGAGGTCCTTCCAGGCCGCAGCCAAAATAGTCCCAGCACATACAAGTCAATGATACATCATTGAGAACGCAAGAGTCAAAAGTAATATTACACAGATTACTCGAAACCATTACAACAACATCATAATGATAGTCATTATAAGCCCAATAGTTAAGAACCTAATCAGATCAAACTCTTGCAGTATAAGAGAGACAGTGTCGTAAGTAAAACTTTTGAGTACTTTCACCAGCTGATTGTGGACAATAGAATTCTACAATGAAGGGAACTATTGTAGTCATTAACAGGTGATTGCAGGTATTAGCAGCAAGTGAACCCAAAAGTGAACGATTGAATCAATGAAGTTGAAGTGTTGAACTCAGCTTTTAAATGTGGCTTGATTTCAATCGTACAAGAGTTGGGTTCAATCCAAAAAATAAAAAGAAAAAAGCAATTTAAGTCAATTCAAGATCCAAAGAGTTTCTAATGAAACAACCGTTTGGGAGAAGAAAACTGAAGGGCAACGGTAAGCGGTACCTGAGAGGAAGAGGACGAACTAAACAACGGAGACCCACCAACGAAAATCATGATTTCAGATTTCTGTCTATGTTTTGCAGTTAAAATCTGACGAGTTCGCTGTGAGATACATGCAGCCTCCCTCTGTCCCTGTGTGCAATCTGGACACTAGACAATGGTTAATGTTCGCAATACTAACGATCACGCGCTCTTTATTTTTCAGGTAAATTGTTGAAACCAACCCGGAATTTTTGACCGTTGCTGAAACCTCCCCTCATATTTGATGATGGCAATTACCTGCAAGCCTATATCCAACTTTGTGATAAATCATTTTTTCAGCGATGAAAAAATCCCAACTCGTCAAGCCTGCATTTAGGCCCCGTTTGGTTCGCGGGAATACGGGTCTAGAATCGGAATTGGAATGGGTGTTTGGTTGGGCGAAATTAGAATCTCATTTCCATTTTTGTTGGAATGGCATTCCCCCATTTGAGGGAATGGACATTCCCTACCCCTCCCTTGGGAATGAAATCCCATTCCTGTTGATTTTAATTCTCATTCTCATTCTCATTCTCATTCTTGTCTGAACTAATGCTGCGCAATCTGGATGCTCCCTCGTGTGTAGTGACTTAACTTGATGTCTATCTGGTTGGGCCAAACTGATGTTTGAATGTCCGAGATGATGTATGCTGCAAGGGGTAGAAAGTGAGAGTGCCCAAGTGTCTTTTACTTGAGTAGGGCACTCTGATGCTTAAGTCAATAGGCGTTTGAAAGTTCTTTTTGAGTGGGATTGGGTGCATTTTATAAATCCCAGGGCCCAGGGTCTTCTAGGTAATGGTTCTGAGTTCCTTATGGGGTCGTTTCTGTTTTACTTGGTGCGTTAATGTGTCAGTTATGAGATCTCCGTGGAGGTTACGGTCTCCCTAAGTAAAGTCAAGGCATGCAACATGGCGGGTTGTTCTAACGATCGAGGCGTTGGCACTCTTAGCAGCACGTTGTTTGTAGGGGGTGGTTGGTGAGCTCTCCTTCGCAAGTCATTCTGAATCTCTATAGCTCGCCCAACTCTTAGGGCAACGTGTCGTAATCTCGCGGTGTCTACTAGTTCAGTCTTGCCGAGGTGGAGGACATCCTGGGTGAGGTGCTTCGAGCTAATTTTGCCGAGCTAGTTCGTTAACACAGGGTTGAAATGTCAACCGGAGGCCACATGTTGCTATTTGATTGGGAGGACCAAATTACCCCTCATCATGAACCAAACAGATTATGGGAATGTACCATTCCGATTCTAGAGTATTTCGATTTCTATTTCGACTGCGAACCAAACGAACCCTCAATTTTGAGAGCCCAAAAATATAAGATAAAGTGAGGGAAGGGGATTTTAATTCAAATAAAAATTAAATTTGAATTCAGTTAAGTAATCAAATATTTGATTTGATACAAATTTGATCAATTAATTAATATATATTTTATTTATTGTCTTGAATATGATGATGGAATACATGATAATGGAAAAGCTTATAACCAATCAACAAGCATCATAAAAAAATGTGGCAACCAATCAGTTGGGTTCTCATCAAAATTTATAGGGTTTTGATTGGTCAAAACCTTTCCAGTATCATGTATTTTCGACATCATAGATTTTTCTTTTATTTATATAAAATATATAAATATATAAATTATTTATATAWTTTATACATTATATATTATAGTTGACTATGGGTGGGAAAAGGCTTAGATGACAATGACAAACAATGCCCATGCCCATGATCAAGGTTCAAAGTATCGATACAGGGCACTACATCGGTAAAGGCAAGGCATATAAACCTATATTGGTATTCTTTTTATGTTTTTTGTTTTTCATATTTTTTTTTTCAAATCTGGTTCAAAGGGATCGGTCTACCCCCTGAAACACCCCCTATAGGGGCATATTGGGAAGACTCCAATATGATACGTATTAATCGATCGATATGTATCATACTTTGAAACTTGCCCATGATAGACACTACAATAAAAATGGTCTAGCAATGTATTAATGGCGTATAAATTTATGCCACTGAAAATTATGTCGATATAGGCTATAAGGACATATAACAAAATGCTATTATAGATATATCAATAGTGCCATTTATTTAGTCAATAGTAGTGCATCCATATGCAGTTACAAATTTAGAAAACTAACATTTAAATATTTATAACAGTATACACAAGCACCACCGTAACTATGCTATTTACAGTGATGAAAATAAAGCATGACAATTTATTTATGAATGTAGAGAAATAGTGGCATTTATATACATCATTATAGTGTGTTTTCCCTACATGATATTTTTTTTGAGTTCAATCAATAAACTAAACAGTATGAATGTGGTATTGAATTCAACCAATTAAAACATCAAATTATTTGAGCTCGATATTCAAAGTAATGATCAAATTCAAACTTAGATTTAATTTTTAAAGATTATTTGTATGGTAATATTTAGTTAATTAATTATTATTGTTATTATTAAGTATTTAATTAATGATCTTATTATTATAATAATTATTATAATTAAAATCTTTACCGTAAAAATTTAAAGATTAATTAAAATGTAATACTTACTTAATTATTTAATTAAAGATAATATTATTTTTAATTAGTAATGGTGATGATTATTTTCTTATATTCTTATTAATAATCAGTATTTAATTACTGAGTATTATTGTTAATATAAATTTTCTAAGTACACTAAATTCTGGTAATTTACATAATTTTACTGCACAATCAGTTTTTGAACCGTAGAGCTCTTAATTAAAATTTGTTTGTGACTGAAAGTAACCACTTTGATAATTTTTTAGGAGTGGATGAACACATATTTAATTAAATTTTATGGATAAACATATGTTAAACTAATAAATAATTGTCTATTGAGAATGTTTAAAAGGAAAAGTACCCACTTTTTGAATCATATTTCTTGAATTAATAGAATATCATGTATCTAATATATATATATATATATATATATATATATATGACAACCAACAATAAAACAAAAAACAGAAGGACAAACCCAACATATCATAAAAGCAACATGAAACAAACCCAACAAACCTACTACAGAAAACCACAAAACATATCATAAAAGCAAAGATAACCAGGTTGGAATAGCTCCTTCCAACCAGAGCACAAAGTGAAAGGCAATCTTAGCTAATTCGTTGGCAGCGGAATTTGCACTTCAAAGGCACCACAGAAACCTGACCTCCAGATCTTCACAAAGAGAAACCAGATCTTCTGTGAGGAAGACTAACTCCTTGGAACAGTAAGGAGAGGGACTATTTAGATATGTAACTAGGAGCTGTCAGTACAATTCAAAAACCTCCCAAGCTACTGCTTCCACGAGAGCCAAAGCTTCTGAGATAGGACCACATGCCGCCTAGCAGCCAAAACCAACTGAATCTCTCGCAACAAAAGCCAAAGGAAGCCTTATTTGGAGCCTCAAAACCTCTATCAACATTCAGCTTCACAAAACCATCGCAAGGAGGCCACCAACAAAAAGAAGGGTCAGGATGACCCTTAGCTAAAGAGTAAAAACTCATAAGCTTGAGCTCGAGCTTTACTAACAAAGGATTAGTGGAAGAATTTTCAAAATAAAAACTATTCCTATATTTCCAAATCTCCCATAAGCTGGTGCAATTGAATCCAAACGAATGCGAAAGAAAGACTTGAGAACCTTGGCAAACCACTCAGGCTGCGTTTGGAAATGATGCAAATGGAGTGTAAATTCCGGTTCATGGTAAATTTGCACTCTAGTTTAATTTTGCTTGTGTTTGGCAACGTTACATTTATGCATTGAAAAATGACAGATTAATACATATTTACATTGATAATAAGATGTAAGAATACATCAATAAAAAAGAAGTAAATTTGCATTCAAGTGGGATTTTGATAAAAAAAAAAGCATATGTTTTATTGGAATTCATGTTTGCATCCATTACAGCTAAAAGTCTGCTTGGTAAGAAGGTAAATTTGTCAACACAAAACTAACTCAACCTTGCAATTTATATGGAATGTTTTACACTTTACATATTTGCATTCACACGTATTTGCATCATTTCCAAACGCAGCCTCAGCAAAAGAGTCTGAGCTCAAATATATATATATATATATATATATATATATATATATATATATATATAAAATTAAAATATAAATAATTATTGAAAATTATATATAATAAAAATATTATAATTTTTAATTTTTTAAATATCAAATAAAAATATTTTTTATATATAATTTTTTATTTTATAAAATATTTTTTCTCGAATCGAGCTCGAGTCAAGCCGAGCTCAAGCTTATGAGTTTTTACTCAAGCCAAGCTCGAGCTCAATGTTCTAGCTCAAACCAAGCTCGAGCCTCGTACTATTCGGCTCGGCTCGGCTCGAATCCACCCATAGAGATATCTATTTGACTTACTCTAAGACCCAAGCTTGAACGAAACCAAATACACTTACTCGTCTCATAGTGCAAAAGGGCATGCATTACTGATAGGCCTGTAAACGGATCGAATTCGAAAGGCTAGATTCGAATTCGAAATCGATTATGAACACTGTTATTCAAATTCGATTCGATATCCAACGGATATCAAATCTTTGAGTTTGAATTCAATTTTGATTATCAAATTGAATATCTGATTCGATTCGAATTCGACTGATTGACTTTTCAAATGTGAATTTGAATCCGATTCGATTCAAATAGACATTGTATACATTTTGCAAAGAAAGTGTGAATCTATATCATAACCAAACACCAAAAAACCAGTAAATCATTATCTAAATCACTATTAGAAATTTGTGATCTAAAAATTACCTTGGGAAAAGAGGTAGGGGACGGTGGTAGGCGTGGGTTCCCGACGGCAGTCATGGGTTGCAACACAAGAAGGTGATGCTGGCGATGATTCACTGTCTTACTATCACTGAGATTGAGAAAAGAAGGTGAATAGTGATGGGTTCTCGGCGGCGATTCACTGTCTCAATGTCACTGAGACTGAGACTGAGAAAAGAGAGATAGAGGTGACGAGATGAGCGACGATGGCGATGACTGGTGGCGGACCGATGGTGGTTGCTTGGGTGGTGTCTGACAATGGTGAATGGAGTGACGGAGGTCGAAGGGTTAGGGTTTTACACTTTTACTTTAGGGTTTTGAGAAGATGAGAGAGAGATGGTAAGGAGGTTCAAGTTTGTTTGAATGAAAGAGTTCGATTTTGAGATTTTTGAACTCATTATTCATAAAGTCATTAGTTATTTTTTTTAATCTTTATATTATATAATAATATAATATATATTATATAATATATTAGTATATAT